AGTACGCATAGTACAAGCGTTGCTTAGTTTGAGACGAGAAAATGTTGTGTAATAAAATATGTCCTACATGTGTCCTAAAAAATATTTTCGTCTAACGTTTGAACAGAAATGGTTCTTATCAATAATGTACACAAATACGCGGCAATTGTAGAAGACGGTGGACATTTCTACAAAACTACGCGCTCGTAATTTATCTACACATAAATTATGTATAGTAGTATCTTAACTAAAAATGCACGCTGAATTCTGATGCAAACTTCCAGAGTGCAGTTCTCGGATCCGCTTTTGAAAAGTTAAAGAGTCTTTGACGTAAATACAAACACAAAAAGCAAAGTTAGACTACAGCAAAGACAAAGTACGGAGTGAGTAAACAAAGAAAGCAGCGCCGCACCTTAGTTGGAACGACAGGAAAATGCTTTAGGGTTACCCAAAGGGTAAAATGGGACCCTATTACTAAGACTCCGCTGTCTGTCTGTTCGTCTGTCACCAGGCTGTATATAATGAACCGTGATAGTTAGCCAGTTGAAATTTCACATATTATGATGGTTATCTGTAGCCGCTTTAACAACAAATACTAAAAAACGGAATAAAAAATATTTGAGTGGTTCTCCCATACAACATACATGATTTTTTTGCCGCTTTTATAATAGATAATGGTACGGAACCCAGGCGAGTTGGACTCGCACTTGGCCGGGTTCTTTTACAACATTAATGTAAGTTACCTCTCGCTAATTGGGCATAACTTCAGTGGATGCGGCCAGTTAACTGTGTCGCGTAGAATACACAATTTTAAAACTTTTTTACCATTTGAAAACTTGCCTCTTCTAACATGTTGGTAACCTTTAACAAATTATTATCAGAATAGTTTTAGCAGTTTGCCAGTTTATTAATTAATTGTTACGTCAAGTATTTTGGGACTTTACTGCGTTTAGTATTTTTAAATTCCGGACGCTCACTATTAATTTAATTTACTCAAGCAACATATCTTCTGACATATCAAGTGCTCAGCGGTGAGGGAAAAGATCCTGAGGAAACATTTTTTCGTTTTCTTCTGCATTTTTTCGAAATAATAAGAAAAAAAAAATTGCATCCCCAACTTATGATGAGGTTGACAACTTGTACTGTTTAAGCATATGGGTAAAATAGGTTTTTTGCAATACCTATTTTTACACTACATTTTATCAAACGGTCTAATTATCCATCATGATTAGACACTTAACGACTATAATAAGCAAAACAACTTTCATTATCTTCATACATTATAAGGTGAACTTTGTACCTTAATAACTCGATCCGTTTTTACATAGTTTTAAATAATTATATTTCTCCATTAAAACATTTATAGCACAATTTCGTATTAATTTCTAAAATGCCTCCGATGCACCCAAGCAATTCTTTTCAGCTCACTGGCTCGTAGTCATGTTTAATAAAATTCCAGCACAGCCGACCTCGATATTTATCGACCACAAGAAAATATTCTCAAAGAATGTACCGACTACCGTGCAATACAACTTCCAATTACTATGGCGGTAGTATATAATATATAGTTTAAAATGACATCCATGTAATAGGATGTAATTATATGGGATTATCGTTATTATTAAAATTATTACTAGCAGTTACGTCCGGTTTCTAAACACCGATCATCGAGATTCTGATTAAGATTATTCTGATTAATTCAGAGAGTTTAACCATCCTTTTGGCAACTTAAATAACATTTGAAAAGCCATTTGAAAGATGATTAGTTAACTTCTACAATGATGTGTTTATGTCTTTTCTTTCTATGTTTATGTTTATGTCTTTTTTATGTGTTTCAGAAACCGGGCGTTACTCCTATAAAATCTTTTCATTTTTATGAACGGATGAAACGAAGATACTGCATTCATTTTCATCTCTCGATCCTTTTTGTATTGATAAAGTAAAATATGTTATAAACACCTAATGGTGTTAAATCGGCCATTATACGCTATTGTGCTATGTTTTTTTCTTTCTTTTCATGAGAAGGTACCGAAAGCGAGCTGGCGATTCACCAGTTATTAAATGATAACCGCCACGTAGGCTTGCAGATGCGTTGCCAACTTTTAAAAAAGTAGCCCCGGATACTTCACTCGGACGAAACGCAGAAGTATAACACTTCCACCTCACGCCGGTCTTCTCTGAGATTGTGGTACTTCCCCGAACGGACCTGTCCATTGGAGCAACAACGAAGACTGTTTTACCGTTGTTCCGTACAACAGTTGTTTCACAGTTGAGTAGTTTTCAAATAAATGAATTAATCTGTATACGTGTAAGAAAGGTCGCATCAGCTTTAATAGTCTAACATGTCGTTGTTACAAGTGTTTTCTTACCTTTCTCTATCGGATTGGGCGCAGGGGACGTAGATCGATTTCCACGACGTAGTTTCAAATCTGGGTGCTGTTCGGTGATTGACTCGGTGATCTCATTTATTACCGAGCCCTCCTGGGTGGAATAAGGGCTGGAGGATGACGTAGCTGTGGTAGGACTACGGAACATTATATAACACGATAGCCAAATGTTCGAAGCGATTGGAGATGACCGGATCGTCGTTGATTTGAGCTAAATGTTAGATACGGTCAAATTGAAAAAAACGTTGAACAATGAAGAATTTCCATCGACACAACAAGAAACGCGCCGTCATAATCCCGACACTAATTAGCGTATTTTTTCGTTCTGGATATAAACCTACATTGGATGCACTTCGATTCCATTTTCCGTTTGTCGTTTTTATATAAAACCTTTATGGTAATAATAAAGTTTCCGGACTCTGTTGTACTGTAAACTGCGTTGCCGCGTGAAGTAGATCCGCAATATTAGTTTATTAAGGCGTCGTGCTGGGCGGCTCTGCCGGTGTGGGGAACGTTGTAGCACAGAACTTAATATTCCACGTTCAGTTGCAAATTTATTACTACGCTAATCTAAGCTCGATTTGAGTATATATTTATTTGTTCATTTCCATTTTGTTTCCGGTTCTAATGAACATAATCTATCACCGAATCATATCTGTCGGCTCATCATACTACCTTTTTTTGAATTTTAACTGCTTTATAGTATTAATGTCCGTCCAGTGGTTTTGTATCTACACATGTTGGAGGTAAAACAAGAGTGAATAGGTTTTCACTATCAGGTGGAATGGCTCATGGCAGTCAAGCGCTGGCCAGTTTTGAAAAAAAAAAAACATTACACTTTTCTTAACTCCATCGAGCTATTTAGTAATATCTAACTATAAATTTTGCATCTTGTCGAAGCAAAATATGTGTTAATATCTAACTATCGTTTTTTCATCATGTTAAAACAAAATATTCCCTATGAACCATACCTTATACATATTTCTTAAGACCACAATGTTGACTTATGTGCCAGAACAATAAAGTTTTTTTGCATAATAAACTTTATTGCACCCTTCATAAGATCAGTTAAAGCTTCCAAATTTAATGAACACAACGTCTGTTTCTTTACATGACTGTGACAGCACGAGAATATCTGGCACTAACAGGCACATTGTCTGATTCGAATATCAGATGCGATCTTGCTAAGTTCAAGCTTTCGTAAATTAGACAAGAAGAAACGTCAGTCTCCTAACATGACTCTGACACACGCTTACACGCGGATCTTCTGAAATAACTGGCACATTACTGGATTAAATTATAAGAAACGCTTTTTTATGAACACGATTTTGATATATGCCAAATGGATTAGTTTAATAGATTTAATGATTTTTTTCTGTAAAGATTGCACTATTGTGTAAAAAAAGGAATGTATCATCCTATAACTGTCCCACAGCTGGGCAAATGCGTTCTCTGTACAGTTTCTTTTTTATTTGAAAAGGAGACAAGCGAGCTGACGTTTCGCCTGATGTTAAGTGACAACCGCCACCCATGGCAACTGACAACTTGACAACCGCAACCCGCCACTTGCAACACCTGTAGGGTTGCAGATACGTTGCAAGTGAGCCTCGGCTCCTCACGAAAACGAAACGCACAAATATAACACATTCACTTCACGGCGGATTTTTTAATTATTATTTAGCCCAATTTTAAAAAGGTTGTCAACGCATCTGCACCCCTCGGGTGTAGCGAATGTCCATGGGCGGGGGTATTCACTTAACATCAGGTGAACCTCTACTCACTTGGCAATTTTTCACATAAAAAAAATGTTTTTTTTTATTCATAAATTAAATTCAGGATTTTTTCCTTCACGCTGCAGCCGGTCAGCGCTCGCTCGTAATAAGGATATAATACTGTTTGAGTTCCAGTTTGGATTAAGAAGAAAAACGTGCATTATATACAGCTTCTCCGGATGTTATAACCAATGATACGTAGTGCCTTACTTAAATAAATTTTCTGTTCTTTTGATAGTTATTTAATTAAGTATTTGTAGTTCTTTTTTTTTGTGATTGTTGATTGTTGTAATAGATATTATTCTTTTTAATTACTTCGTCATTTAAATCCATAAAAAGGCAGGACGTTTTTTTTTTTGTTATAAACATTGCCCTCACTTTAGGATAACATTATCCTGTGTTGTAAGGACGTTTTACAAACATAAATTGCACGAGGACAAACACCCAGATGCGAAACAACTATCTGTGGGTCGCACAAACAGTTGTCCCGTGTGGGAATCGAACCCACGACCCCCGTAGCCGAAGCCAATACCTTGGCAACTGTGCCACGGAGTCGTCATTTGTTTATTAATTAATTCTATGCATTCAATATGTTCCGTACTACTTACGATAATTCATACCACTACTAGAGAAATTTCTTTGAATTTATCGGGGTTTCGGAAAGCATCACACATTTTAAGGTGTAAGCTAACTAACAGCCGATTGCATAAAAGAAGAATTGAACACATTGGTTCAGTCAGATAAAGTTTTGATCACGGATTTTGATTAGCTCGTTAGTAGCATCATCGACCGTGATAACACACCTGTGTGATAACATATTAATATAAATACTTGACACATCCGTACCGATGTATTAATCAAAATGATGAAAATCGTGTTGATCTTGAGCGTCGCTCTGGCGGTCGCTAGTGCCACCAACGTGGCTAGATGTAAGTATTGCATAACTGATATTTTTATAAACAACAAAAACTACGAAAATAAGCACACCGCTAAACAGAATGTAACAAATGTTGATACTTCTAGAAATGACTTTGATTGTGTTGTGAAAAATTTAAGATGGATGTTATTATCTTCACTCTCAGGTCTCCACCACGCCGGTGACTTACCGGCCAGCACCCGCATCGAAGGCTGCACCAACCCTCCGTGTGCGTTCCCTCAGCTCCGTAATGCGGTCATTCACCTGACGTTCAGAGCCCGTGAGTTTTCCTTTATAAATTTATTCGTTAAAACTGATAGCAACATCGATAAAAATAAGAACAGTTCTTAATTTGTTACAATTTAAAAGATTGAGCAGATTTGTTAAATAAAATTGGCGGTGATTGGTAATTTAATAAAAATGTGTACAACTGTGGTAGGGCTACGCAACAGTGTTCGCTGTTGCACGAATGGGCAGGTCCATCCGGGCTAGGACCACGACCTCACAGAAGACCGGCGTGAAGTAGAAGTGTTACACTTCTGCGTTTTGTCTCGTGAGTGAGGTAGCCGGGGCCCAATTTATTAAAAGGTGGCACCGCATCTGCAATCCTACGGGTGTTGCAAATGTCCATGGGTGGCGGTTATTACTTAACATCAGGTGAACCACCACCTCCGTATGTCACTTTGTCACATAAAAAATCATAAAGAAGTTGAACATGTAAGCAATATCTTAATAGAGTGAAATAAGAGCAAACAATCACCAATAAATCCTTGTTCACATCTCTTAACAGGTCGACCCTTGGCGAATATAATAGATATTTATTTACTAATTTTTCATCTTGTATGTCATACAGGTTATTAATTTAATTGTGTTTAACAGCCCTCTTAATTAATTTCGGGCATTTGTCATATTCTTTATATTTTGTTCATTAATATGACCAGTTTGATTATCCCACAAATGCCTTGCCTATCTTTATGTCAAATCTATGCTAATTTCCTAAGAGAATTACTTATTTATTTCGCTTTATTACCTCCTATTATTTCGCTTTCAGCTCGCCAGTTGCAGTCGATGCGCACCCTGGCCACCGCCTACCTCGGCAACGTACCAATCCCCTACGACCTCGGGGCGAACGCAAACACTTGCAACTTCCTCACCAACACCAGGTGCCCCGTGCCATCTGGCACCAACGTACAGTACACCCTGCGCATGTTCATCGAGGCTTGGTTCCCAGCGGTGAGTATTCAAACTGATAATCAGAATTTAGTCTGTATTTTGAAAGATCTTTCAGATATCAATTAACTAAGTGATTTTTTACTTTGCTCTTTTTTTTTCATACTGACAATTACTTCTTCTCAATTTATTCTTGAGAGGTTCATAGACAAAATATTAACGCCCGGTTTCTGAAACACTGATCATCGTAGATGTCAACTAATCAGCTATCAAATGAATTTCAAATTTCATTTTAGTTCCCAAAAGGATACACGAAGGTTAATAAACTCTTTGAATTTATCATTCTGATCATAAAGTAGATCATTCTGGTCAATTCAGAGAGTTTAATCATCCTTTTGGTAACTAAAATGAGATTTGATATCCACATTAGTTGACATCTACGATGATCATTGTTTCAGAAACCGGGCGTAAGATTTTGACTATCGTCTAAAGAATGAAGTGCCGTTATGTACTCTTTTAGTCGCAACTTCTCAGATCAAAAACTGGTCTCTATTCTAAAATTTATCCTAAAACTTACTCTAACTATACATATCTCATACTTATTAAACAAAACCTGCAGGGCACCTCAACAACGATCGAGTTCAGGATCGTGGACCAGAACAACAACCCAGTGATCTGCCTCCGCGTGCCCATCCGCATCACCCGCTCCAACATGTTCATCGATGGCGCCGACGAGCTGCCCCCCGCAATCGAAGCGGCCGAAAGTGAATCTATATATCGCCCCTGATTTAAAGTACCGTCTTCTATACGTCAATACAGATAAATCAAATTGGAGTGTATGTATGTAATATACAAATAACCGCTTTTTACTAAATGCATATGGATCCATACGCGGTACTTATACCAAAGTAACATTTTTCACAATTTTTGTCTGTCTGTCTTTCTGTTTGTTCCGGATAATCTCTGAAAGGACTGGACCGGTTTTGACGGGACTTTCACTGGCAAATAATTGATGCAATAAGGAGTAACTTGACTACTTTTATTTTAGAAACTTTGCTTATTTTTATTAATATAATCCCACGCGGACGAAGTCGCGGGCACAGCTAGTCTTCAATAAAATTAAACATCCATCTATGACTGTTTCATTCCATGTGGTCTCACTTCTTACCTTCAGCTTGCACTGACATTTTCGTTTCACTCGTATTTTTATACTGTATTCTGTATTCTGATAGATAGCAAAATATAATATGTATTGGTGGTCAGCGTATCTATCGAAAAAGTACTTTTACATAACCATTGTATGAGTTGAGCAACTACCGTGTTAGCTATATCACATTTCTTACAATAATGAAGAATGAAAATCAACCAGTTTTGGATTATAGTCAATCAAAACACAAAATTTTGGCCATAGCTTTGATTTCATGAAATCGAGTGACAAAAACTGTTTGTATGGTGCAAGAGTATTTTTTTATAATTCGACATGCAAATAAGTAACGGGATTTTTAATCTAGATATGTGCACACGGATTATATAAATTGACGAAATTATTTATATACAAGTCGAAGAGATTTCATGACTGCGATGCAATTTGATTATTAGTACAGAACGCTTAACATAATAAAACTTAACATAATAGATATCTTACTTGAACTTAACAGAGTATTGTATATTAACGTATTATGTTAACGGTTAGAAGTGTTTTCAAATAAATAGATTAAGTACAATTGAACTCACATATAAACTAGATCACCTATTCTTGACGTCTTTGCGGAGCTTCTATGACGCGTTAATCTTTTTGAGTAAAGAGGGTAGTCTCCTAAATTTGCATAGATAAATACGCAAAAACTTTCGGCGCTGCAGAATCCTAACCTGCTCCTTCTGGATAATCTAGGTGCAGTGAAACATTTTAGCACAGTTTTCTCAAGATATTTTATGCTCCTTACGAACTAATCTGATTGGCCAATGACTACTTAGTGAATTCTAAATCTATAAATCTATAAAATCTAAGTGAAAATTTTGACATCTATCCACTTTTCTTGGAGGCTAGAACTAAAAATAAAATTAATCATGAAACTGGTCTCATGTTATTTTAATCCCTATTCATTGCTGGAAACAGAGACTGTTCATAAATACCTATAGCGTTTTATGAAACTTAATAAAGACTTAAGTATATATGAGAGCGACTCCAATTTAACAAATAGACAGTAGTTCATTGTTAAAGTTGTCAAAAGGAATTATCTAAGATTAATTACTCGTTTGGTCTTAAAAGTAATACGTTGCTAAATTGACTTGCCTTTGCGAAGAACGAGAAGCATCAGACAGAGAATTAATTTATTGTCTTGAGAAGACTTAATACAACGGCGGATCTTTTGTTCTTCTTACACAATTTTCACTAGTGTTCTCGGTATGCTCTTAGCAATATTGCCCATTGTGCGTGTTAGATTTTGATTCATTTATTTTATTTATTTAGCCTTAAGCTCACCAACTAAATAAAATATGAATTTAATTTAATTTAATATTAAAATATGTAGAAAAAGTACGAAAAGATTGTTACAACGATAATTCGAACGAGAGATGTTAAATCTTAAGTGCAAAGATTAGCACTATAAACAATTTAAATTTATAAAAAAGCAATGGCGACGTTCGAATTATCGTTGTAAAACGATATTCGAAATTGTTTGTATGCTGGAAAGGATATAGCAATGGATGCGCCGAGCATTGCTTCAAATGCTAAAAACCAATGTAGACGTTAAGATTTTCGTCGGTGTGGCTATCAGCCGTTTAGCTTAGTGGTTAAAGCGTCAGGCCGAGAATGCCGAAGACGTGGGTTCGTTTCCCACAACGGCGACAATCTTTTCCAACTTTTTCTATACATTTTAATTTTAAATACAAATATGTTTAACTTAATAATAAAGTTGTAAGAATAGACGTAATAAAACAAACTTGAATTAGAGAACAACAATATTATGCGTTATTGTGTGACCCATAGATATTTGTTTCGCATCTGGGTGTTTGTCCAAGTGAAATTTATGTTTTTAAAACGTCCTTACAACACAGAATAATGTTATCCTAAAGTAAGGGTAATGTTTATAAAAAGAAAAAAGAAATGAATTAAGAAATATGAGCAATGTAAAGCGGACTCGTATAGATGCCAGAACGTAATAGACGTGGATAAAAAAATGTATTTGTAAAATCAGATATTCACTCACTCAGATGATGAGAACTCATAAGTTCTATTGCGCAATATGCGATTAATTAAGCTCAGTTACAAGATGAAACGCGCCGTTTGGTTATTTATCTCTAATGAATGCAATGCATCCATATCTTTTATAACCAGACATACATATAAGATTTCTAACGTTTTTACCTTGATTCTAATATTTTAAGTATTACTGAACTTAATAGTCAAATTAACAACTATTATAACGACAAGTAGCACTAGTGGTTATATCACCGTCCGGGAACGCAGCCGAAATCCAAGTGACCACTGCTCCATGCGACCATGTGTCCCTTGGCTCGAGTAGATAACGGTATACAGTGTTGCCAGCGCCAACACACATTTGACGTAGATAGCGCCATCACTTGACCCGAAGTACTTATCGTTTTAGAATTTAGGAAAACATTTCGGTGCAAATCAATTATGATTAACAAAAAAAAAGTACTAAAAAGACAACTGAATATAATGGGAAAGCCCCTCCAGCCAAGCCCTTAAAGTTTCTGTATTATTTTTGTGTATAATAAAAATTATTGAACAAGTTTATAAAATAAAGCACACTAGAAATACCGACCAGTATTTAATATCCAATTAAATTTCACTCGTCTAAATTAATCTGTATTTCATTGATCGTATGTGAATTAGATGTATTAAAATATTATAAATTCACTTACGAAATATCATCATTTATACAAAACCCTTTTTTATTGGGTACATGTGGTCACACGTTTTGTGTATACAGTTAATTTCAGTTATATGTGTATACAGTCAGTTATACGTATACAGTTAATTTTAACTATCCAATAGAGAGCCTATTTGTAGGCCCTAACTGCTTTTATCAAGAAGGTCCACGTAGTGAACTGAAAACATAACTGTAAACAATAGAACAAATATCAATTATCATTATCATTTATTGCATTTTAAGGTACACATGCTTTAGAAATAACCTTAATACTCATATTCCTTAACATGATGATACCTTAGTTGTTATCGATGTGTTATTTATTTATTTATTTATTTATTAAGGTACACCAACAGCATAACGTATACTTACATTAAATATACATATATTTTCAGTTACAGGTTTTGTTCTTATATTTACGCCAATTATAGGTATACACAACATTTACGATCTAAGTACCTAAAAAAAGTAAGACAAAAATAAAATTTTACATAAGAATTAATAATAAAAACTAGCTATATATTTTAAGTAAATTATGTATGAGAAGACAATAAAAGTACAAGTAAGAAAAAATAATTCATTTTAAATTTATATGAACTCTAAATCAGAAGAAATCGTAATTTCGTTTTACAACAAAACATTTAACGAATCATTAAAAATATCCAGATTCCATTCGGCTACAGACATGTGATTGTATTTGCTTAAAATTCTTGAAAGTGGTTGATGTAGTCCTAAATTTGTTCGATAATGTGGAACCCTAAAGAGTTTAACAATGCGAGATCTTGGGTATTTATAAGGAACTGCTAGGCTCACTTTTTCCAGAAGTACTGAACATTTAATATTTCCTGTAATAACCTTATGCAAAAAAGATAGATCAGCTATAGTTCTTCGGTTGCGTAAAGTACACATGTTAAAATGTTTCAGTCTCTGATCATACGGATGTCTATGCGAGATGTTCGGTGAAATATAGGCCAAACAACTGACGCAAATTCGAGGTGTGAAAGCACAAAACTGTTGTAGAGGATAACTTTCGTTTTTACTTCTTTAAACAGTTTTGTGTTTCGGTTTATAAATCTGTACATCCGCGCTGCCTTTCCTACAATTTTATCAATATGGGCGTTAAATTTTAGCTTGCTGTCAATTACTACTCCCAGGTCACGGATTTCATCGACTCTAGATAACAGAACACCATTCAAACGATAGGCACATGGAATAACCTTTCTTTTTTTCGTAAAAGTAATATGATAACATTTGCTTGTATTAAGAGTCATGCTGTTATTGTTACACCATAGTACTATATTGTTCAAATCGTTTTGGAGAAGTTGCACATCGTTAGGACCAGTTACTGTTTTATAGATCTTAAAGTCGTCAGCAAAAAGTGAAACTTGACTATGTTTAACGTAAGTGACTATGTCGTTAACAAATATTAAAAATAAAATTGGACCTAGATGGGAACCTTGCGGGACTCCCGATTTGGCATAGTAAGTGTGAGACTGGGATCCATTAACGACCACAACCTGTGGACGGTTATGCAGATAGGAGCCAAACCATTTTAAAAACTCGCCCTCAATACCACACCCCTTTAATTTAGACAAAAGTATTGCATGATTTACTTTGTCAAACGCGCTAGACATGTCTGTATAAATTGCATCTATTTGAGAGCCTTTATAAACTACAGTTGCTACTTCTGACACAAAGCAAACAAGATTACTTTCTACAGACCAACCGTTTCTAAAACCATGCTGGAAATCTGACAGTAAATTGTTGACGTGTTGATATACAAAAGGATATACCAGAGACTCAAATAATTTAGCGAAACAAGATAGGATAGAAATAGGTCTATAGTTTTTGACATCCGACTGATCACCCTTCTTAAAAACTGGAACTA